ATTCCTGACCTCAGGTGATTCACCTGCCTCGTTCTCCCAAAGTGCTGGGATTATAGGCGTGAGTCACTGTGCCCGGCCTCCCTTTGTCTTTAACACTGTTCCAAAGGGAGTAACTTCTAGGACTGATAATATGCTCAGAACTTGCTTTCGGCCTGGCACGGTGGCTCAAGTCTGTAATCCCAGCACTTTGGGAGACCAAGGTGGGTGGATCATTTGACGTAAGAAGTTCGAGACCAGCCTGGTCAACAAGGTGAAACCACCTTTCTACTAAAAACACAGAAATTAGCTGGCATGCTGGCGCTTGCCTGTAGTCCCAGCTATCTGGGTGGCTGAGGCACAAGAATCGCTTAAGCCCAGGAGATGGAGGTTGCAGTGAGCCAAGATTGTGCAACTGCACTCCAGCCTGGGCAACAGAGCAAAACTGTCTCAAAAAAAAAAAAAAAAAAAAAGAGAAACAAACAAACTGGCTTTCAGCATTGACCTCATACAGGCCAAAAAAAAAAAAAAAAACGGCCACCAACCACCACCCTCCCCCTATCAAACAACTGGCAGAAGGGAAAAACCTTTCAATTTTCTCAGCTAAGAAATTCCTTTTCATCTTAATGGCTGTGATGTAAAAGAGCAGGGAGTCAGGGCAATTCAATCAGTTTCGTGATCTTGGGCAAGGTACTTCTGTCTTTTGGGACTTGGTTTCTTCTACTGTAAGATAAAAAAGCTGGGTCCCATCAGAGGTTGTCAAGTGTGCTCTGTGGAGCCCTAGAAGTTCTACAGAGCCTAAACAGGGATGGCCAAAGAAAGGGTAGTAGTTGACAAAAGATTTTGGCTCCATCTCTTCTCCCTTTTAGTCAGAGCAACTCTGAGCTGTTATTTTATATACAGCTCTGATTATTACTTTTACTTTAAAACAGGGTTCTTCAGATTTAAGAAGTCTGAAAGCTGCTTAGCATGGCACTTGGCACTCAAATCATTTAATGAATGAATGAAAACCAAAGGGACATGGATGATTTCTAAGGTTCCTTACAACTCTGACCTTCTATAGTTCTATGGCTGCTTAACATGAACTACAGTCAAGGGGTCTCCTCTGCCTGTTTGCAAAGGTACTGAGACTTCTGCTTGTTCCTTCATTCTGGGTACAAATGTATTCCCAAGGCTGATTCTAGAGAATAATTCCCTAGAGCTACTAGGTACAAGGATTCAAATAGTTGGAAATGGGAGAACGTCTTTGGCAGATAGGAAAAAACAGGTATATGGATTAAAGGATACCCAAGTCTGTGTCCTTGCAGTAGCAGAGTCCAAATGTAAAAAAAGTGACAAGATAACAGGCTAACAACATCTTATCTCTTCAAAGATAAGATGTAAGTAAAGGGGTCAAACTATATCCCACACCACTTGAAAATTCTTCTTGACATCACCACCACAAAACATTCCGATATTGTAGGTAAAGAACTAAGGTAATTTAGACTCACTCGGTAATTTTGGGGTCCAGGTTGCCAATCCATAATCGGTGTCCTTCCTGCAGAGAGCCCTCTGAAAGGATGGATGCATTCTCCAGGGGAAGAGTTTTGGTTTCTGCTTCCATCAATGTCTATGAAATACTAAAGGAAATGTGAACATTCAGGCAGGAGGGGAGTAACAAAGTGTGAACACAAGACTTCAAATTCAACTCAACAAACATTTACTCAAGGAGGGCATGCCCTCTGGGCAGTCCTTCAAAGGCCTCAGTGATTCCACAACCAGGGCTCCAGAACCAGTTCCCTTGGGACAACTGCTCTGGCAGCCAGAGCACATAAGCTGCCATTTAAGGTGAAAGGGGCGTGGTTCTGTGTGGAGAAACTACAGTTTTCCTCCTCTGTAGCCAGAGGCTGACTGGGCAGGAGGCCAAAGTCTCTATTACTACATGATACTTTAGTTCAACAACTGTCACCCAAAATAAGCCTTGGAAACCACCAGGAAGAGTCTTAATGGCATTAAAAGGGATGGGCAGGGAAGAGCAGCACTCCATCCCTTTTCCTCAAGGAAGAGACAATATAGCAAAGAGAAGAGGCCATATAAGAAATCTGTGCATAGACAGAACTGGGTTTGAAAGCAGGTTGTATGACTTGATGAATTACCTGAACTTTCTAGGCCTCAGTTTCCTCATTATCTAAAGAGAGAACAGTGCTTATTTTATAGAGTTGTTGTGAAGATTAAAGACAGTAAAAAATCACTAAATACTGTATCTAACAACAGTAAGTAATCAATAAATACTAGCTATTATCACGTTTATTCTTTTGGGACAGACCAGGAAGAAGAGACTAATTTCCTCCTTAGTTAGTCAAGTTCCACCATTTGCTAGCTATGTAGCTCTGTGCAAGTTACTTAACCACTGTTGGCCTCAGTTCCCTCATCTGTAAAACGGGAATAATGCCTCATGAAATTAGGGTGCAGATTCACTGAGTTAATATACCTAAAGCATTTAGAACCGTGCATGGCACCTAGGAAGCACTCAATTAATGTTAGCTTAAATTATTACTAGTCTTAGTTCCTGAAATGTCTCATCTCACAGTCAAGGAGAACACAGGATTATGATGGAGACAGCAGTAGAAAGAGCAGAAAGCTTGGCGTCAGAAGACATTGGTTCAAATTGTGGCATTTCTTTCTTTCTTTTGAGACAGACTCTCCTCTGTTGTCCAGGCTCGTGGGTGGTGGCACATTTCGGCTCACTGCAGCTTTCACTTCCCGGGTTAAAGCGATTCCCGTGCCTTAGCCTCCCGAGTAGCTGGGATTACAGGCGCATACCGCCAAGCCTGGCTAATTTTTGTATTTTCTTGTAGAGACAGGGTTTCACCATGTTGGCCAGGCTGGTCTTGAAGTCCTGACCCCAAGTGATCCGCCCACATCAGCCTCTCAAAGTGCCAGGATTACAGGTGTGAGCCACCATGCCCAGCACAAATTGTGGTATTTCCACTGGAAGTTACTTCTCTCTGAGCTTCAGTTTCCCCATCTTTAATAAATTTTGCCCTGTTTAAAACTTAAGGCTTCAAGGACCAAAAATGAGATGACAGATGTAAAATAAAGCTTTAGGGGCTGGTAAGAGAGCAGGCTGTGCCAAAATTCAGAAATCCCTGCTAGAGAACACGTGTCCTATACCCAGAAGTGCCTCGGAGGTCAGCACTACAGGAACCGTGAGGTCAGTCACAACAACTGCCATTACCTCTTATTCATCTCAGCACACCCTATAAAGTCTAGCACAGCAATCCCTAGTTAATTGTTTATTGAATACCCTGCACATGAGGTATTGTTCTTCCTTTCCCATTCACATCTTTAATCTGTTCAGCAATGTAAGCCAAGCAACTAGGAACCGTTAAACTCTGGGCTATGTACTGAAATAGAGAAATGAAAAAGACACAGCTCTTGTTCTAACCTCCTGGGAGAAAGGCAAAATAGATATAAATTTAATCCCAGGGGAGACACATTTTGTCTTCTCTCTGCTTTCCTTTTTCCCTACTTTTTAAACAAATCATTCATTCAAAAAATAAATTCACTGTTTCTATTATCTAGGACTTATCTAGTTACTGGAGTCAGAGCAGTGAACAAGCAAGGTCCTTATCCTCTGGATGCCTATGTTTGGAAGGAGAGCAGGACAAAACAAAAGCAAAATAAATAAAGAAGATATAATTAGTGATACACGCCACAAACACAATTAAGCAGGGTGATGTGACAGGCACTGGACGACTTCAGATTGAGTAGAGGGAAGGCTTCTCTAAAGGAGACGACATTTGAGACTTGAATGACAGGACATTCTGATTTTCTCATGTCTAAAATCAGCAATAATACCAATAGCTATTAATACTTATTACTACAAAAAGATACCATGTTTTACTGCTAAGAGTGCAGGATATGTGGGTCTGGATTCAAATCCTGACTTTTGCACCTCGTAACTATGCCTTTAGCAAGTCACATGATCTTTAAGTATCCTCTCCATAGAAAAGCCTTCCTTAACAGAGTCCCTTGTTATTCTATATCATAGCCACCTTTCCACATTTTTCCTCCTATATAATGCTAACTCAATATATTATTTAACGTTTCCCTTTCTGTTTCCTTCACTAGAACATAAGCTCCCACAGAACAGGACCTTGCCAATCTTGATCATGGTTCTATTTCCACACTTAAGTACACTGCCTGGCTCACGGCTGGTGCTCAATATTTACTAAATGAAGCAAGTCATTTCTCCACTCGGAGCCTTAGTTTCTTTTTCCTTCCTAGAATGGGTACAATTATTTCTGTCTCATGAGGTCGTTGTGAGTCTTAAATAAGACAATTTTGGTGACAGCTCAGTATATGGCTTTTTGAGGAAAGGTAAAGGGTAATAAAAGATCAAGACGGCATGGGACTACCAAAATGCTTTGCTTTTGCAATAGCAACAAGCCTTTAGACTACCAGAGTTCACAAAACGCGGTTACATTCATCCTTCCAGCTGAGCTGCAAACAACCCTGGAAGCCAGAAATAGTCATCTGGGGAAAGTGCAATCCAGAGAAGAGGAGACACTTGATTCTAAAAGCAAGCGGTTGGCCAAGCCTGGAACCCTGGCTTCCCGATTTCTGGCTGCGAATTCACACAGGCGAGGGGTCATTGCTCGGATTGTTATTTCCGGGCCAGCGACAGGACAATCCGGGGCGGGGCCTGAGATGCAGTCCCGGGAGGGCGGCCTCCTGTAAGACCTCTTCGCGGGCCCAGCGCTGAGGTGCAGGGACATGTCGCGGCCGAACTCACCTCGTGGCCTCGGCGTGGTGCTCTCAGCTCATGCCCGGAAACCAAGTCCCGACGCCGCGGTCAGACGGACCTCTAGCCGCGTCTGCCTCAATGCCGCCAGCTGCCAGGCCGCCCGTGACGCGTTACGCCTGCGCCGCCTCCTCGCCTCGTGACGTCACGACGCCCGCGCAGCTGCGGTCGCCGCCGTCGCACGAGTCTTTCCTTAGTAACCTGGGCGATAGCTGGTGAGTGTCCTTGACAGGGCCTCGAGGTGCGCGTGTGGTCTGAGTGCCAGAGACCCTTACTCAGGGACCTCTGGGGGACCTCAGGGGACCAGACTACCGTGCCCGACCCGTTCGAGTCCAGCTTGACCTTTAAGGTTGAGGGCGGGACCTGTAGCATCGGAGCGAGTCTCATGGGGTGGGGGCGGGGTTCCTTTTACCAGCTAGGAATTTAGGGGCTGCTGGAGGAACTTACTAAAGAGTAGCCTCACACTTGACGGGAACGTTTGAGGTTCAGAACAATACCGTGGGAGTAGATATTATTACCTCCCATAATGAAGAAACGGAAGCTCAAATAGGTAATTTTACCAGGGTCACGCGGTCAGAAAGTGAGGGCGCTTAAATTCAGACCTAGGTCTATCCGACTCTTAAGCCTGAACTTTTAACTACTACTCTGTGCCACCCAGTGGCAAAGCAACTGTCATTTCAGTAGCCCTTCTCCATTTACATAACCCTGACAAATAGTATTGTTATTTACGTTTTACAGATGAGACGGAGGTCCTGAGAGTTTGACCGATTTAAGGTCACGTGTCTAGGAAGTGCTGGAACCAAGACTTCTTTCAGAGTTTTCTCTAAGTTTAGTGCCTTTTTTTGTTTCAAACCACACTATTGCATTTCCCCCAATTTTGGAAAGCTTTATAGTTGGAAAGAATGAAAACCTGATTTGACCCCTTCATTTTATGGTTGAAACAAAATCTAGGAGAAATCACTTGGTACAAGTCACAAGTCACTGGTAGAGCTGCCGCAAATGCTTTTTGAATACGTGTGATTATGAATCTAAATGACAGATGGCAGGGAGTGATAAGGTAGGCATATTGGAATCCAGATGTCTTAACTCTTAGGCAAAAGCCCTTTCTGCACCTGTCTCATTCTTTCTTTGGCCGTGCCAGGTGCGTGATGATTCTGTGTATAGTCAGGTACTACAAGTACCTTTCTTTACCTGGCACTGCATTTAGAGAAGAACATGCTCTACCGTCTCTAAGCAAAAGTGTGGCAAACCAAGAGATAGTGAAGGCAACGCTGGGAAGCCCAGAACCTACCATAGTAAGGGTAGATTCCAATCCTATTCTGGTTGACCCTAGACAAGGAATTAATCTTTCTGGACTTTCACTGATGTATTCATCACATTCACAGTGTCTTCTGTGTTCTGGCAATGTACTAGGTACTGGGGATACAGCAGTGAACAAGAAAATCATAGATTAGTCCTTGTAGTGCTTATAGTCATATGGAGGGAATTAATCAAATAATTACATAAATATTGGTTTTTGGTTAAAAATTAAGTGCTGTGATGAAGTTAAGGGTGTTGTGAAAGCAGACTACAGGACACTTGACCTAGTTGGGCCGTAGGAGATGGCCAAGGAAGCCGTCCTCTGAGGAAGTGATGGTTAAGCTGAAATCTGAAATAAAAGCGGAGACAAACAGTTAAAGAAGTGAGGGAAGATCGTCAAGGAGATTCAATGGCATGTTTGAAGACTCTGGAGCAGAGGGAGCACTGGAGAAGTGAAAGATCACTTTTCTTATTTTGTAAAATACCGGTGGTAATTAACACTGTTTAGTTATTATGAGAACCAAATAAGATGATACATGTGAAAGTATTTTATATACAAGGGCCTGTGTATATGCACACTCATAAAAGTGCTTATGTTATAAGCTAGTATACAGCTGGATTGAAAGGAGTTGCTGGGACTGGATAAGCCAGGACTTTGGGTTGGTCATCTAGCCAAAATTAAAATGAACCTTCTGTGAAGAACAGGGAAATCTTTTGAGATCCTCAACTTTGGAAAAAGAATGCGTGCTTCAAGTAGTTAACAGAAATGTTTCAGTCTGTAATCTCAGCACATTGGGAGGCCCAGGCAGGTGGATCACGAGGTCAGGGGATTGAGACCATCCTAGCTAACATGGTGAAACCCCGTCTCCACTAAAAATACAAAAATTAGCTGGGTGTTGCGGCAGGCGGCTGTAATCCCAGCTGCTTGGGAGGCTGAGTCAGGAGAATCGCTTGAACCCTGGAGGCGGAGGTGGCAGTGAGCCGAGATCACACCACTGCACTCCAGCCTGGGCGACAGAGTGAGGCTGTGTCTCAAAAAAAAAAAAAAAAAAAAAAAAAATTCAGGCCAGGCGCGGTGACTCATGCCTATAATCCAAAAAAAAAAAAAAAAAAAAAAAAAAAGATCACCTGAGGTTGGAAGTTCGAGACCAGCCTGGCCAAAAGGTGAAACCGCATCTCTACTTAAAAAATACAAAAGTTAACTGGACGTGGTGGCGGGTGCCTGTAGTCCTACCTACTCAGGAGGTTGAGGCAGGAGAATTGCCTGAACCCGCAAGGCATAGGTTGCAGTGAGCAGAGATCGCACCACTGCTGTCCAGCCTGGGTGACAGAGCGCGAGACTCTGTCTCAAAAAAAAAAAAAAAAAAATTAATAGTCGGAATGCTGTTATAATAGCTACAATTTATTGTGTACCTACCAGATGCCAGGCATTGTACTGTGTGTATGTGTTTTGTTGCTGGTGTTTTTTGTTTGTTTTTTGTTTTCTGAGACGGAGTCTCGCTCTGTCACCCGGGCTGGAGTGCAGTGGCACGGTCTCAGCTCACTGCAAGCTCCACCTCCCGGGTTCACGCCATTCTCCTGCCACAGCCCCCCAAGTAGCTGGGACTACAGGCACCCGTCACCATGCCTGGCTATTTTTTTTTTTTTTTTGTATTTTTAGTAGAGACGGGGTTTCACTGTGTCAGCCAGGATGGTCTTGATCTTTTTTTTTCGTGATCTGCCCACCTCGGCCTCCCAAAGTGCTGGGATTACAGGTGTGAGCCACCGCGCCCGGCTTGTTGCTGTTTTTAAGGGATTAGGTCTCACTATGTTGCCAAGGCTGGCCTTGGACTCCTGGTCTCAAGTGATCCTCCTTCCTTAGCATCCCAAATAACTCGGACTATGGGCACCCACCACTGTTCCCAGCCATGCTGAGTGTTTTATATGCATAGTATAGCAGTTAACAACATAGACTCTGGAGCTGGATTGCCTGAATTCAAATCTTAGGCAGATTTTTGCTTCTGTTTTCTTATCTGTAAAGTGGGAATAATCATAGTACTTCAGGGTTATCATGAGGCTCAAATGAGTTAACGTGTGTAAGCCACTTAGAATAGTTTCTGTCACGTAGTCATTGTTATATAAATGTTAGGTATTGTTGTCATTATTGTTATCTTTTTAAAGCCTCATTAATATCACTATGATGATGATGTGGAAGCTGTAGCTCAGAGAGGCTAAATGACCTCCCCAAGGTCACACAGCTAGTAAGTGGAGGAATTGAGATTCCAGTTCCAGACTGCGTCCAGAGCTCAGACACTTCCCCACATTGCTTCTATGTATAGCTTAATTTTGTTGGCGAATACTTGGGATCTCAACAAATTTTTCTTCAACTTTAATTCTTTTATCTGTGCTGAACAGAATGTTAATTTGTACAGCCTTAAGGTAAAGGACCTAAAGGACTGCCTTTATTGAACTTCCACTTTGAAATTTTCTGACTTCTGCGCAATTAAAATCTACGCCTTACGCGTTTCGGCAATGTGGTTTATTTATAGAGTTGTCTTCCGGTTCACGTGTACTGGGTCTGCTTTTGGGTGCTGCGTTTTCTGTCAAAGGTTGTTTATTTCTAACCCATTTTGATTTCCTGTTGCTTTGTGAGTTGGTATTATGACCTGCAACAGGAACACCAGGAAACCTATCTTAAATGGAGCAGCCAGATTGAGATCCTGTAGACTAAAATAAAAAACTGCTCATTATTCTACAGCCATATTTGGTTGTAAGTATGAATTAGGCATTGGTTTTATTAGGGAAAAACCTAGATATAGAAACTTCACTCTGAGCCAAACCTCTGTGAACAGTTCTGCTAAAATAGAGCTTGGCTATTAGTTCCATGTCCTTGGACAGTGACTTAATCTCTCTGAACCTCAGTTTCAACGTCTGTAAAATGGGGATTATTATATGTTCTTTGTGGCATTATTGAGAGAATTAAATGAAATAATATGGGTAAAGCAAACAGTCCAAACTTGACCTCAATTAATAGTAGCTATTGATACTAATAAAGAAGAAAAATATTCCTTTTTTCATCAAATCTGTTTTTATAGACTTCATACACTGATCACTAACTTCTAGTATCCCTTACTATTAAAAATTCCATCAAGAGAAGTTATTTGTCTTTGTGCTACTCATTTGCTTTAAAAATAATAGCCATCATTTATTAAGCTGCTATATTCCTGGCACTATGTTAGTTGTTTACATGTATTCATTATTTCATTTTATTTTAAGTTCAAAGTTATTTTTATCATTGATGAGGAAAGTGATGCCCAGAAGAGTAAATTGCCTAAAGTTGAAATTTACATCCAGGTCTAATTGTAGGCTATTTTGTACATCATTATTAACATACAAGGTTTCTTTATTGTGTCTGACCCTGACATAATAGTTTTTGAGGCTCGGCATAGTGGCTCACGCCTGTAATCCTAGCACTTTGGGAGGCCAAGGCGGGTGGATTTCCTGAGCTCAGGAGTTCACAACCAGCCTGGGTAACATGGTGAAACCCTGTCTCTACTAAAAATACAAAAAAATTAGCTGGGCATGGTGGTGTGTGCCTGTAATCCCAGCTACTTGGGAGGCTGAGGCATGAGAATTGCTTGAACCCGGGAGGTGGAGGTTGCTGGGAGCCAAGATTGCGCCACTGCACTCCATCCTGGGCAACAGAGTGAGACTCAGTCTCAAAAGATAATAAAGATAATATTTTTTAAAAAGTTTGAAAGAAAAGGTGATAGCTTTCAACAGATATTATTTTGGGGGGCTTCTGCTGTTTGCTAGGTACTGTGTCAAGGGCTTTACTTGCATAACCTCATTAATTATTCCCAACCCTAAGAAATGAGTACAATTATTCCCATTTTACAGTTGAAGAAATCAACGAGCAGAAATATTCAGGAGTATTTAGTCAGTAATGGAGCTAGGATTGGCTTCCAGGTCTTCCTGACAGCAAAACCCATGTTATTCATTCCATTATGTTGGATCAAAATTTTAGGATGGGATTTTTTAAAAAACATAAGATGTGGGACTGTTACTCAAAGGAAGCAGCTTCCAGGTATTTGATACTAATTGTTCTTAATTTTTAGCTGAGCCATAGCAACATTACTGGCAGAAGCTATTAATGATATATTTGTCAGTTAGCTAGGGCTGTGTTATGTCCTGAGGTAGTTGTAGGCAATGGCATCTTTCCATGGTCAAAGACCTCAGATGTAGAATGCGTAACTTGTGTTAACACAGTAGAGAGTGGCATTTTCCAGAGCTCTAGTTTTATACCATGGAAGACCTCAAACCTCAATCATGCTTTAGACTCACATTAAAGGGCATCCTAATTGGTAATCAGTGCGTAAGGAACCAAAGAAAATTTTAATTAAATGCTGTCGTGTGAATTTTTCCAGTCATTTTATGCCTGTTGAGATGGTTTTCTTATTTAAAGTCCTCTTCTAGTGCTCTGCCTTCTCTCTTTAAACTTTATCAAGATTTTGTGCTTTTCTCATATAAGGGTTTAATTAGAATCATTAAAATTTTAGTCTGCTGCATATTTGCTTAATGGGCATTTTGGTGCAGTGGAAAGAACTTGGGGTTTGGAGTCCAAAGTGGGGAAGTTACTTAAATCTCTGTAAGCCTTAGTTTCTTCATTCTGTAAAATGAGGCAAATAATACTTTCTTCTAGGGCAGTTGGGAAAAGGATTAGAGATAATGTATTTAAATTGTCTAGTACTTAGCTCAGTTTATAGGAATTGCTTGATAATTAGTACGAATTATCTGAAGTTGCAATACGGTCTCTTTTACTTAGATCTGCTTTTTGTCTTATTCTTTTTAGTGGATGTTTCCAAGGATCGTCTTCAATCATGGCCTTGGGATTAAAGTGCTTCCGCATGTTCCACCCTGCCTTTCGCAATTATCTTGCAGCCTCTATCAAACCCGTTTCAGAAGTTACACTGAAGACAGTGCATGAAAGACAGCATGGCCATAGGCAGTACGTGGCCTATTCAGCTGTACCAGTCCGCCATTTCGCTACCAAGAAAGCCAAAGGTAGAGACATGTGATGTTCTCTCCTACTTCACCCCTTTCTTAAATTTGGCCCTTGAATTATAGCTGGCAGGTATCTCAGATGTACTGAATTTCTCCCCTTGCTAACATGAGGAAATGGGGCCTCAGCTATTTCATTTGATTAACTTAGAAGGTTACAGTGGCAGAGATGGTGTTACAACCCAGTGCCTGTTTTCTTATTACCATGCTGCCTCATTTGTTTTCTTAGTAGCTCAGAAAATGCCTAATTTCTTTCTTTTAGATTTAGAGTTAGAGGTATAAGTGCCAAGCGAGCCAGAATGCTTGTAGCAGGGATCAATATATTGTCTCCATATAGGAAGATACATGTTGGAAGTATAATTAAGACCAGAAGGTTGTTGGGTGAAGTGGGTATTAGAGTCATGGATTTAGATGGATGATCTTAATGGCTTGTGTCATCCAAGAATGAGACTTTGATGTACTGCAGGTCTCAGCTTAAATGCTACTTCCTCTGGGAAGCCTTCCCTGACCTCTAAGACTAGGTCAAGTCCCCTGTTAACTGCACTCGTGCATTCTGTTATTTTACCTTTGATGCACTTAAAACAGCAGTGATTAATTAATTAAATGTAAGATTGATTATCATTTTTCTGCCTTCTATGCTGGACCTGATGAAGGTAGGTTCTATGTTGTTCTTATTTAGCACCTAACAGGGCCTGGATATAGTATTTTTGACAAATTTTGTTGAATGAAAGAATGAGTGATAGAAAATTGTCAGTCACACCAGCAATTTGCAGTGGTGGATTAGGGAGTCCTCCCCCAAGAATGGCACTAGATATATGCTGCTGAATATTTTCCCACTGACTCTTCTTTTCTGATTTCATGCAGATCTTCCCCTTTCTGTAATAGGAAAATTAACAAATTGCTGAAAGAACGGTAATGCTTAGAAGACTTATATTCTGTTAATAGTAATAACCTTTGATCTGTATGTTACATTATATTTTTTAAAGTTTCCATACATTTACTAATTTTATCCTTATAATTATCCATTGAAGAAGTAATTTTCCATTGAAGAAATCCTTATAATTATCTAGTTAATCCAGATCTCACCATTTTATAAACGAAGAAACTGAGATAATTAGTGAGAAATTTGCCCATGGTCCTATATAATTAATGGCAGAACCAGAAACTTTAGTTCTTGATGCCTACAGTATTGCAGTCTTCTAGTACACTAGACAGTGACTACAGTGCATAAGCAGCATTTTTTCATATTTTGTGGGCTATTCAGTTTTGTCTTCTTTGCTTGCCTCTATAAAAGTTGGTTAAGCTAAGTGCTGTGGCTCACACCTGTAATCCCAGCTACTCAGGAGGCTGAGGCGTGGGAATTGCTTGAGGCCAGGAGTTTGAGATTAGTCTGGGCAACATAATGAGACCTTGCCTCTTAAAAAAAAAAAAAAAAAAGCTGGGCCTGGTGGCCTGTACCTGTAGTCCCAGCTACTCAGGAGGCTGCGGTGGAAGGATCGCTTGAGGTGAGGCGTTAGAGGCTGCAGAAGTTGGTTGTTTGACTTTTTCTTTTAGATTTATTCGATTCTTTCTTTTATATTAGGGATGTTCATTCTTTGTCAATAATATGTGTTACAAGTATCTTCTTTGCTTTTTACTTTATGATGTTTTTGTTGAAATGGGTTTTAATGTCATATTTTTCAGTCCTTTATTAATTGTGTCTTCTTTAAAAAATACCCCTCTGTTGCAGGGTAATTTATTTCTGAATATAATGTGAGGTAATTTTTGAAGTTTCCTTTTCAGGTGGATAACAAGTTGTATCAAAATCATTTATTGATTAGCCTACTCTTTACTCCCAGATTTGTAATGTCCCCCCGTTGTGTGAGTTTCTTTATATATATGGTATTGTTTCTGAGCTCTTGATTTTATTGAACTGCTTATCTCTCCCTGCAGTAAATTTCATACTGCCTGACTTACTGTCATAAAGTTCAATTTAGTGATACAAATCTTTCCCCTCACCACACATATGCTTTTTCTTCTTGACTTTCTCCTCTTCTATATGAAATTTATGATCATAGTGTCAAGTTTTCTCCAGACAGATCTTGCACAAGGCTAGGAGTGGTGGCCCACACCTATAATCCCAGCACTTTGGGAGGCCAAGGGGGTTGGATTACTTGAGCTCAGGAGTTCTGACCAGCCTGGGCAGCATGGGGAAACCCTGTCTGTACAAAAATTAGCCAGATGTGGTGGTGCATCCCTGTGGTCCCAGCTACTCGGGAGGCTGAAGTGGGAGCATTGCTTGAGCCCAGTAGGTCAAGGCTGCAGTGAGCCATGATCATGCTGCTGCCACTCCAGCTTGGGGGACAGAATGAGACCCTGTCTCAAAAAAAACCAAAAAACAAAAAAAAATTTTTGTGTAGTTCTTTAATCAGGTTTATTGCTGGAAAAAAAATATCTTTTTAAAAAAAAATTGGTCACTTTTATATATGTTAGTGTTTTGAGTTATATATAAAGAAAAATGTGTACATAAATCATAAGTTTGTGCTTCAGTGAATTTTCGCAAAGTGAAAGCAATCATGTAGTCATCACCCAAATCAATAAATAGATTGTCACTTGTATTTTGGAAACTTACCACATGTCCCTTTGAGTTGTTACTCTCCCACTGTAAGGATACATAACCCACTATATTGACTTTAACACCACAGATTAATTTTGTCCTTTGTTAAGTCAGTATGGATTTTGTGTCTGACTTCTATTGGTAGTAATCTATTTGTGACATATGTCTATGTTGTGCACATAATGGTTGTTTGTGCATTTTTATTTTTTTAATGATATTCTACTGAAAGTATATACCACAATTTAATATCCATTCCACAATTGATTTTTTTTTGGGTTGCTTCCAGTTTTGAGCTAAAAAAAAAAAATGCTAGTATAAGCATTCTTGTACATGTGTTGTGTTGCACATATGTCCCTAAAAAAAAAAAACCCCTCCTGTCCTGTTGTCCTCCCTTCTCTCCCCCCCACTTTCATTGGATTGGCTAGGAACTTTAGTATAATTTGAATAAATGTGACTGGTGATAATAGGCATCTTTGTTTTATTCCTGACTTTATAGGAAACACTTCTTATATGTTAATGTTAAGAATTATGTTTGTGGAGAAATCATATTACCTGACTTCAAATTATACCACAGAGCTATAGTAACCAAAGCAGCATGGTATGGGCATAAAAACAGATAACGTAGACCGTGTTAGTCCGTTCTCATGCTGCTATGAAGAAATACCCGAGACTGGGTAATTTATAAAGGAAAAAGGTTTAGGCCAGGCACGGTGGCTCATGTCTGTAATCCCAGCACTTTGGTAGGTCAAGGTGGGTGGATCACTTGAGGTCAGGAGTTTGAGACCAGCCTGGCTAATGTGGCAAAACCCTGTCTCTACTAAAAATACAAAAGTTAGCCGGGCATGGTGGCGCATGCCTGTCATCCCAGCTACTTGGGAGGCTGAGGCAGGAGAATTGCTTGAACCCAGGAGGTGGAGGTTGCATTGAGCTAAGATTGTGCCACTGCACTCCAGCCTGAGTGACCAAGCAAGACTCTCACAAAAAAAAAGAAAAAAAAAATTAAAAAAATAAAAAGGAAAGAGGTTTAATTGACTTGCAGTTCTGCATGGCTGGGGAGGCCTCAGGAACTTACAATCATGGCAGAAGGCACCTCTTCAGGGGGGCAGGAGAGAGAATAAGTGCCCACTGAAGGGCTTAGCCCCTTATAAAACCATCAGATCTCTTGAGAACTAACTCACTATCAAAAAAACAGGATGGGGAAAACCGCCCTCATGATTCAGTTATCTCCACCTCCCCCATGAGAGGTGGGGAACTATAATTCAGGATGAGATTTGGGTGGGGACACAGCCAAACCATATCATTCCACCCCTGGCCCCTCCCAAATCTCGTGTCCTCATAATTCGAAACATGATCATGCCCTTCCAGCAGTCTCCCAAAGTCTTAACTCATTCCAGCATTAACTCAAAAGTTAAAGTCCATAGTCTCATATGAGACAAGGCAAATCCCTTCTACCTAACTGGTAATATAAAAAACAAGTTAGTTACATCCCAGAAACAATGGGGGTATAGACAACCATTCCAAATGGGAGACATTGGCCAAAACAAAGGGGCTACAGGCTCCATGCAAGTCTAAAATCCAGTAGGGCAGTCATTAAACCTTAAAGTTCCAAAATGATCTTCACTGACTCCATGTCTCACATCCAGGTCATGCTGGTGCAAGAGGTGGGCTCCCATGGCCTTGGGCAGCTCTGCCCCTGCGACTTTGTAGGCTACAGTGCCCCTCCTGGCTGCTTTCACAGGCTAGCAGTGAGTGTCTACGGCTTTTCCTGGCACACAGTGCAAGCTGTTGATAGACCTACCAAGTTCTGGGTTGGAGGATGGTTGCCCTCTTCTCACAGCTCCACTAGGCAGTGCCCCAGTGGGGACTCTGTGTGGGGGTTCCAACCTCACATTTCTCTTCTGCACTGCCTTAGCAGATGTTCTCCGTGCAGCAGACTTCTGCCTAGACATGCAGGTGTTTCCATACATCCTCTGAAATCTAGGCGGAGGTTCCCAAACTTTGATTCTTGTCTTTTGCGCACCCGCAGGACCAACACCATGTTGAAGCTGCCAAGGCTGGGGGGCTTGTACCCTCTGAAGCAATGTCCTGAACTGTACCTTGGCCCCTTTTAGCCGTGGCTGGAGCAGCTGGCATGCAGTCCCAAGGCTGTACACAGCAGTGGGGGGCCCTGCACCTGGCCCAAGAAACCATTTTTCCCTCCTAGGCCTCCAGGCCTGTGATTGAAGGGACTGGTAGAAGGTGTCTGACATAACATTTGCCCCATTGTCTTGGTGATTAACATTCAGCTCCTTGTTAAATTATGCAGATTTCTGCAGGCGGCTTGAATTTATCTCTAAAAAATGGGTTTTTCTTTTCTTTTGCATTGTCAGGCTGCAATTTTTCCAACTTTTATTTTTTTTTTGAGACG